GGGAGAAAGAAAACAAGGATCCCAGAGATGAAATGCTGGCAGTTCTGACACATTTTGGAAGGAAAGCACACTTATAAAAAGGAAAGAAATAATGTAGTGAATCTGCAGATAGAAGGGAAAAAATACAAAGTGCTGACATCGTTTGCACTGTGCCCGCTCCAACAGCATTGAATTACACACCCTGTTCACATGGAAACACACTGTCACACACAGCTGTCAGGAGAGGGAAAGTGGACACTTAGAAACCTGTAGTTTAATTTTGCAGGAATCAGTAATACAGAAGCCTTTCACTGCCCCTCCTAGTACTAGACAGAACGTATTTTAAGGCATAGTTTAACATCCATTTCTTCCTAAAGCAATTCAAAGTGTAACAAGCCAAGAATGTCAGACACAGAAAACTCAACGGTAGGTATTCTGACAGAGGTGAAAGCTGGTTTATGTACAGTGCAGTATTTGCCTTCAAACAGGGGAGTCTTGTCTTGAGAAAAGAAAGAAAAGTAACTGCAGACCCGGATTCTAAAAAAAGCAAACATTACCAACACAAGGAATGTTCATTAGAGTCCAGTTCCCACTAGAGCTACTCAACAGGAGGACGTATAATGTGATTATGCTAAACCGCACTGATTGACTGTTCCCAGAGTGTCCCGGGAGTGGGGCAGAACCGTGGGAGGCCAAACTCTGCAGTACCCTAGTGCAAACTGCCTCAGAGGAAAAGCCTGCAGTCAACAAGCCTCGACACCTATTGCCAGGCTTCACTAAGAGATGTAGTAGTCAGGTGTCACCAAACAATTTCAGGACGCTCCCATAAAGGTGATGGTCCTGTGTGGATTCTAATGCACATCCCCCATGAACAGTGTCCTGCACACATACACCTGCCAGGCTACTGGCTTTCCCTCTTCCATGACTGAACCAGCTCACAGCCACCAGAACCTCACATAGACAATCAGCATGATAAAAAACACAGCTACAGCCGCCAGCTTGGCGTATGTGGAACGCATGTTCAGGTACTTCGCGTCCTGACGGTACTTCTTGGACAAACTGGACAAGTTGTTGGCCTTGGAATCAAGAGCTGTTCAAAGAGAAAGGGGAGAGAAGTTAGTGGAGAATAACTGCATGTTCCCCAATTGTTACAATAACTGTACAAGTTTCTCTGGAGCAGCTGGAAGTGTGGTGGTTTCACATGGCAGCATGGCCTGTGCCTCTCTGCAGTGTTCTAGAGCTTGTCCTGCTGGGATGAGAGCAACTCAAGCTGGTGAGACACTGATCTTGCCCAAAAGAAGCATCATGACCTGCCAGGACACATCTGATCCAGCTGGAACACCCACCAAGTTCACTGCTTTTCTAAGGAGACTCAGGGATTAGCAAGCCTTTCCCTCCAGTATGCTCTGCCCACCCAGCTGACCGAGGAGACAAAGAACTGAGCACCAAATACCAGCCATTCCCAGTACCTGAAAGTGCTTCTCCTCGCTGTAAGACTTCCTCGATGTTGGCCACCATAATCCTCTGCACATCTTGCAGCTCTGTGTTGATGGAGCCCAGGTTCCTCCTCGCCCGGCTGTCAATGTAGAGCTTCTTGGTTTTTTGGATGTAGGTGTCTGCAACGAGACGGGGCTATCAGAGTGAATCTCACATAACACAGGCTGAACTATCAATTCCATAAGCCAAGCTGGAGAGGATCCTGTGGCTG